TAAAAAGACGAAGAAGGCACACACCAGCTGGGCCCCGCTGGCAGGGCTAAGGGCCCCAGCGGGCCCGGGGTGGGGAGGGGGACGTGTGAGACGGCAGGTGGCTCGTACAAGGCCCCACCGCCACGCCACGCCCCGCCACGCCTCGCACGCATGCATGCATCCATCTCGGCCACTGTCAAAAAATCTGAGCAGTGCCGTGCGTCTCGAAGAGTGAGAGCGAGAGCGATCGATGGAGCGAGAGAGAGAGCGAGAGAGAGAGAGCGAGAGAGAGAGGGAGAGAGACGGGCCTCACCTGGTCCGGCCATATGGCGCGAGCAGCGGAAAACAAATAATGCATTCATCTGGCGAGAAAAGTCAAAGGCGACGCGGCGTCGGATCCCCCCCGACATCTCTTTTCTCCCCACACATTTCCATCTCTTCCCCTCTCTCTCTCCCTCTCACATGCGGGTATGAAACGACGGGATAACTCATTTTTCCTAGAACACATAAGTAGCTTGCACGTGTTCATGCTGCTCCTCCGCATGTGGAGAGTCAAAGTTGGTAAACATGCGCGGAATAAAAAGTGATAAATAGATCGGTCTACATTCTGTCCATCACTGGAGTGTAAGTGTAGAACAGTAATGTAGTCCGCCGAGGTCTCGGCCGGGTTTGTCGGGGTGCAACAGCATAAGCCGCCGCTGCTGCACCGCCGGCCGCTGCACTACGGCTGCACTTTGTATCTCTCCCTCCCGGGCCGACTGCCGCGGACAATGGGGTTGCCGTATATAGAAAATAATCGGTAGCTCGGCCGCAAGACCACTCCCCGCCCCCCTCACCTCCACGGGCCCGCTCCCCTACGTCTTCATATATGGACAGACCACAATGGATTGTTATAGGGAAGTAAAACGAATAAAAAGAGACGGCGGGGGAGGGAGGGGGGATAGAAAGGTACAAAGTCTAAAAAGTAAAAAAGATAGGAAAGCCGAGCGCTCGCTCACTCCCTCCTAGTACGTGCACAGCACTACCACTGCAGCCCGTTCATCGGCGTCCAATTTGGGACTACAATCGTGCATGGGCAGCCAGCAGCAAAGGGGGAAGCCCATACCCGGTGCATGCTGCTGATGCTGCTGCTGCTGCTGCTGCTGCTGCTGCTGCTGCTGCAGCGCGCTGTGTATGAGAAATTAGGAACACGGTCGTGATGGCTCAAAACACAATACTCGGTACGTACATGCGCATGCGCCCCCTAGTGTTGTGACCCCCGGTGAGCAGGGGGGCCCGGGGGGCACTGTACCGCACCCCGCCGCGCCACGCCACGCCCGGAACATGGAAACAAAACCCCGCTGCGCCGTGCCGTGATATTCATACCCGCCTGGCGCGCTACGGCCCGGCGAGGCTCAGGGGGGAAGAGAGAGAGACCTGGCAGCACTGTGGTTTGGCAACCACGCCTGCCTGACTGCAGACCGGCCCCAGCCCGGCCCTGCCCTTCCAGGGAAGGCTGTCATACCTGGGCCTCACACACACACACACACACACACACAGCCTGCCTCTACCTGGCCGGCCAGCAGTCTACCTGTTGGCAAGCACACCAAGCAGCCCTCTTACAACTTACAACAGCTGCTCACCGGGGCGGACGCCACCACCACCACCCTCCGCCCCCTTCAACTTGAGCCCCCAATCCCAAGAGCACCGTGCAACAAACAACTCCCCCCAGCAGCGGTGCGCATCGGTGGCGCAGTGTATAGAAAAGAGGTGGGGGGTGAGGGGGCAGTTTTGAAACAAACTCGTCGTTAGCGAACGGTGCATTAAGCCCATCCCTCCCCCACCCACTCCAATGGCACTTTTCCGATGATGCTCTAAGGACCGCTGTCAAACTCGCTATATCCACACTCTTCACGCGCGATCCCGTGACAGGCCGACCGAGGGGGCAGGGGGAAGGGGGGCTGAACAGCGGCGCGCGCCGCCGAGACAAGGGGGATCTTAGAGAATAAAACAAGAGAAAAGTTAAAAGTGGAAAGGTGGAGAGGGGGGGGGGGAGCTGGCATCGGGATCAGCCCTTTGAAACCAGACGCTGCGCGCACGGCTGCGGCTGTCTGCATCAGTTTACTCAACGCGTACGACTTACAATGACGGCCCAATCGGGAGGAGAAAAAAATGTTCTCGTTTGTGCTAATTCGTTTGGGTTTGTTTTTTTGGGGCCTGCTTTCTTCAGATTTCTTTCCAGTCCGGGTCCATTGCAATCATCATCATCATCATTATGATCATCATCACGACGCGACGCAGTGGTTTAATTCGCGTGGACGACAAACGAGACCTTTTCCTCCTCGTCGTGCAATTACCGAAGAAAGGCAAGTCGGGGGTAATAACATAATACACACACAGGAACCAGGAGTAACGGGGGGGAGGGGGGGGGGCTCACCGTACAGCAAGGGGGATCGTCGTCCGGGGCAGACACGGGCGCTTACCTGTAACACAAGACAAGGAGCCACTTTAGCACAAGCAAGAAGATGAGGGAGTGTACACGTACAACATGAGGGAGCGAGAGAGATGGAGAGAGAGCTCAGGCGCGCATCCCCGAGAGTAGGGTACAGGCGCCATACCCAGAGACGGGAGGCCCCCGCCGGCGCCATGTCCGATATTACGCGTAAATGTTGAATGTTCGGGATCGCCGCGCCAGCTGCGCCGGCCTCGCCCCGCACGCACGCCCGCCGAGGCCCTCCTGCTTCTGCTGCTGCTGCTCCTCGCCGAGAGGCCGGCAGCAGCGCGGCGGGCAGGCGTGCGGAGAGCGCGCAATTTCATCGGCCGGCACCATAACGTGACCAACAGGCGCTCCTTCTGCTCCACTCGGCCCTTCTGAGCTTTTTCCCCGAGCGGAGAGAGGGAGAGAGAGAGAGAGCAGCAGCAGCAGCAGCAGCACCGGCGGTGGCCACTGGCCACACGTACGCCCCGCACACCCCGATCACACCGCACCACCAACCACCACTGCCACTCGCAGGATGGTCGTCTCCGACTAGGGCTGCCAAAAGAAAAAAGGCAACACAAAAACGAAACTGCAATATGGCAGCCAAGCCTCAGGAGGATGGCGCACCTCGAATAGAAGGGCAAGAAAAAGGAGGTGTGGAGTTCATTGCGGCGGCAACCAACGGGGGAAAAAATACAGAGGGGAGGGAGCAGCATACGCGGGAATAGCGGTATGGGGTCCGGTGTCCATCTCTCTCTCTCTCTCTCTCTCTCTCTCTCTCCCTCAGGCCGTGCCTGGCGCCAAGGCCGGGCGCCACGCGTATGTACCGCATTCACACAATTACGTCACGTGGATACATAGACCGACCGGGCGGCCGTAAAAAGTAATGTGGCAAGGCCTAAGCAAGCGGGGCTGGGAGGGGGGGGGCGCAGCGCGACCGGACCACTGTGTGCAATACGCGCCAGGGCGAACGAGAGAGTGATAGAGAGAGCGAGGGAGAGAGAGAGCGCGCGCAAGAGAGGGAGGAGAGCACCGGAGAGACAAATGGAGCAGCGAACCAGCGCGCCACCCGCGCGAGTTTCGGCTCTTCATTTTCCCGGCGGAGCTGCGCTGCGCCACGCCGCGCGCTCTCCCGACTGTCAGAAAAATACGGCGCCTCGTTCTCGGTACAAATGACCGAGAGAAGTACAGTACTGTCTCGATCTTGACTGGGGAATCGGGACCGGACTTCAGCTTAGAGAGAACGGCCTGAAAGTTAGCCACATGTTGCTTGGGTCGCCCTCCGCCAGCCCGAGGTGCAATAAAAGTATTAGCAGGAGCGCGCGCCCGACCCTTGTTGCGGCCCGACGCGCGCCGACCGGCCCAGCCGGGGTGCGGCCCAGGCGGCCCGGGTCCGGGCTGTAGGAGGATGGGGCCCTGAAAGGCGGCGCGGAGAGTACAAATTTATTAAGAATTGAAGGGATTTTTAAATTAATGACAACATTTTACACAAGTTGTGGTTTTATTGGTTAAAGAACGAGTACAATGTCTCCACCATAGTTTTAACGTGTTCGTCACGGTGCTTTTCTGCCCACTTCAAAACGACGCGAAACGCTGTTTCGAGTTCATCGTTCACGTCGTCTCCAACATTGCTGTCATCGTCATATTCTAGTTCAGGGATATCACTGTCCTCAGTGTCATCGCCTGTCACCTCCTCCTCCGCCTTTTCTTTCTCCTCCATCCAGTCGTGTACGTCGGCCACCGTGACGTGCCGGTCAATTTTTTGAATTAATTCCGTCCAGTCTTCGTCATTGTCAGGTTCAACAGTCAGTGATTTCGTGATGTCCCGATCCTCCCTGAACGGCATAATGTTGTTCCATGCCCGTCGCAGGTTGTCAGGAGTTAACTCATTCCAGGATGCAACCAACATGTCGATTGCGTCCTTCATGTCGTAGTCGTCATAAAACTTCACTATGCCCCCCTTACATTGCAATACTTTCCGCAGGAATTTGCCTTGAAACAGCCTTTTAACTTTGACGATTACACCCTGATCCATCGGCTGGATTAGGGAAGTCGTGTTAGGTGGGAGGAAAACGAGCTTAAATTTGTCACCAAAGTCAAAACCTTCAACAGTGTTGTGCGCAGCGCAGTTGTCAACAAGTAGCAAGACCTTGCCACTCCGTCCGTTTTTTGCCTGGTGCCTCTCTACAAGACGTTTAAATGTTAGTAACCAGTCACTAAATATCACACTTGTAATCCAAGAGCTCTTTTGCCAGCGGTAATGCACAGGCAAACTAACGACATGTTTAAAACACCTTGGGTTTTGGTATTTCCCAATCACCAGTAAAGGGAGTCGATGTGTCCCTGTCGCATTTGCGCACATCGCGGCGGTAAAACGGTCTTTCTTTATTTTGCCCCCCTCCGCCCCCCTTTCCCCCGCGTGAATTAAAGTCTTTTTAGGGAGTGATTTCCAACAGATACCAGTCTCGTCCATGTTGTAAACGTCGTCTAGGTCGTAATTTTCGCCCTTGATCATATCGTTCAAAATACCAGGAAACTCATACGCTTTGTCAAAGTCAGCAGCCTTCTTCTCGCCATGTGTAGCAGCGTGTTTTATGCCGTTCCTCTTCTTAAAACGGTTTAACCAGCCGCGACTTGCCACAAATTTTTTGGAACCTC